TAAGCCTTTTAGATGAATTATAAATAATCTGGAATCAATATCATTGGAAAAAATCAAGAAAAAAAAACTAGTTAAGCAACTGGTACAGATAAATGAGTTGTCAAATCTTTTTTTGTCAGTGCTATTGTTCTCTGTAGAAATACTGTAGAAATATTGGAAGTCGGGGAATATAATCAGCAGTTTAAAGGATTTATAGCCTTCCTTTACACTGGTGACAGTATTGCTCTTAATTTTAAATTTGGGCCCTTACTTATTTTAGATGACTAGGAAAATGAAAATCTTGTTCTCTATGTCCTCAGATTGAAAAGTATGCATGGACCCTTGTTCCCAGGACCATCTCTGCTTGACTTCTTCACTCTTGCTTTGGCTAGGGAAGTAGATTAGCAATAGGCCTGGTCTCTCACTCTGTTCTACTTTTAATTCTGATCTTATTCCCTTGTCTTCTTTTATTACCCTAGTTGTATTGTTACCCTAGTATATCAGTGTAATGTATCGTTGCACATTTTTCTGTCTCGCTAGTATGATTCTACTGTATTCCATTAAAGGGGAGTGAAGCAGTTCAGGAAGTAGGAGATGCTAGAGATTCTTAAAACAAGTATAAGAGAAGCAGTCTGAGAAACTTATTCTACTTATTCTAGCTATATAAAAATGTCTTCAATGGTGCTCCTACAGTTTTTGTTAAAGGCAATACTGCCCTCTGGTGTCCGGAAGCCAATTCCAATGAATATCTTCTCAATTAAATTACTTTAACTCTTATAGTTTAGACTCTAGAACTTATTAGAAAAATAAGTAACAGTTATTTAAGACTTGGTTTATTTAGTTTATTTTCTGGCTTGAAGTCCATTGGATCAGGTAACTTGGGTCATACTGGAGTTATCCATATAATATCCCTTATCTGATAGGTAATGTCCACTTTTTTTATATGACTTTCCTTTGTTTATAAGGAAAGTGTTCCCAGTCCCTATTTTAGAAATATGATACATTAGATCATTGCCAATTTTTAAAAAGCTAAATCATTATTTTCCTTCCTTCACTTTTGTAACTGATGTGTCATTTTTCATTTCATTCTGGATATAAATCGTAATTTCTTTTGCCTGTGTTTTTTCTTCACAAGCACGCCTTTCATATAATGATAGAGGTAAGATGCATTGATGTTTGTTTAATGGTTGTGGAACTTTTTGTGGATGCATACTAAACATTTTGTTCTTAGATTTTTTTTTGTTGCTTTATTGTGCATCCTTTATAAGTTTATACATTTATGTTATGAATTTTTTTCCATTTTTAGTATTGAAAACATGATTGACTTGCCATGGTAACAGTTTTTGGTTTTAAAGGATTGTTGACAGTATATATACTTATCTAAGGTGGAATGTGGAAGCAACGCTTAGTTGATTAGATGTTAGCACTGAATGGCTACATTTTTAGCCTGAAAACCTCATACTGGTTAATTTTTACATTGTGTCATTAGTTTAAAAGATAGCTTGTGCCCATTTTTGACTGGGGCTGACTTTCTGGTCAAATCCATTATCTTTTAATATGAAATCTCTATTTTCAGATAGTTTCTTTCATCTTTAATATTTTAAACAGATGAGCAGGCTAGAGAAGTATAACTTGATCTTTTGCTGTGTAGGGGTTAAGGCTTTATTTAGATTTGAGTTCACCCTTCATATGGAGAACTCAGGATAAGTAAAATGATCACAGACTACTTTGCAGCTCTTCAGTTCTAATAATTTATTCCAATATTGGTTATAATAATGATATTGGGTAGTGGTGTCAAGGTGAGGGGCACTTTTTCCAGTTATTGTTATTTGTTGCTTCAAAACACCATGCCTTTCAGTGCTATAATTTTCACATGGAAAGGGGTAAAGAAGAGATATAATCAGAACCATGTTCTAATGAATATATTTTTAACTGTGCACAATTAGCATGGATACTGCAAGAGAACTGGAGACTTAGGGAAAATTTTCAGGAATTCTGTAGCGCTTATAGTTTCACCGCCCCCCTGGCCCAAGTGGTTTTTCTATGTAGCAGGGCAATGCCATGTTTTATGGATAACATCAGAATGCTGCTGTCATTGTGAAGTTCAGGTCTGAATTTGTCTCCCCAGATGTTTATATATTTTAAAGGTATAAATCTTTAGAATCAAGTATTTTTGTGGTAAATTAGTATAAAGATGTTAATAAACTGAAAATCATTTCTAATCTTAGATTATGGAATAAGTCAAAACTAGATATTAGAGGTTCAGTTAAAGCTTCCTACAGTTTACTGAAGAGCTGAGAAGTATAAAATAAGAATATTCTAGTTATTTTTTCATTGAAATAGCAAAAAGTTTAGTTGATTGGTTTACAGATTTTCTACAGTTATCATCTCTTACAGAGCTACTCATTTTTGAATCCAGCCTTTTAAATATTATAGAATATTATTTAAAAATACATACCATTTCTAAAAGTTTTAACACTTCATAGGAATGTGCTTTTGTAGACCTTTTTCTCACCCTTTGAAAACTGGCCCTTCTTAATTTATGCTTTTTACTTATGAATAATTTTGACATCAGTGTGTTTTCAGGCTGTTATTATACAATAGTAATACCATCAGGGGAGCAACCTTAAGATTTCTCACTGAAATGATGGTAGCTAGAAACCTGCCAAACAGAGCCGTGGAAACATGGGGACTTTGAAGTTTATCTCTACGTTTGCAAAACATTCAGTGGGTTTTTTTCTAAGCATAGACATTGAAAATTATTGTATGTTTCCTAAAGTTAGGATCAGTATCATATTAAGTCATATTTTGAACTGCTGACATGTTCTTAATTTGACATATGAATTAAGTTATCTAAATCCTATTTTATACAGACTCAATCATATCCAGGTGGTTGGTACTCTTTAGAAGAGAGAATAGGCAATGTGTTTGTTATCTAAAAGACATCATCAGTTTATGTAAAAGTTATTAACAATTTTAGTGTTTAAATTTAGCACCACATTACCCTTTACCTGGTTATTTAGAACCACATTACCCTTTACCTCTTCAGCTTTCAGCCCTTATCTGTACACTTTAGTTTTTGGCATCCCTACTTTGAAAACATGATTTTTTAGTAAAATTATCTCTAAAGGAAGGGGAATCATTGACTTTAACTTTAGAGTTATTTAGTTTTTCAAGTTGAACTTGTTCAGTTTAGTTAGCATAACTATTCTTTCATACAGTTACCCAATAATTCTTGGACTTTGAGCACTGGGTAGTTTCCTTTGCCTTTAGGAGAGTAGTTTTCAACCTTTTTTCCTTGCATCTCTACATCCACTTACGTAACATACTCTTTTCAGTAGAATCTCCTAATAACCACAAGAGTAAATGATCAGTCAAGGACTGAGGCGGGGAGGGTTTAGTTTTGATAAAACCTTTCTAGAGATTCTTGTGTCCCCTCTCACTGAGGATTATAACTTCAGGGACCATACTTCTATGAGGTTTATATCTGACTTCCTTGATTCGTCACTCTGTTAAATGAAAACACTCTTTAGCACTACTAACCTTTCATGTTTTGAATGTGTGAAGGAAAAGTAACTTTTGCAGACATTTTAAAAATAAATATCTGAGGTTGATATGAGTCACAGGAAGTCTTGTAGTTTATCTTAGTGTTTTAAAATGGGAATTCTGAAACCATTTTGTGAAAGATTGTCTACTTTGGTTCAGGAGAAATTGCATATTTTTCCTCTTTAATACTTTACAATGTTTCTGTTGTTGAGGGTCCTTCTAATGTGGATGTCAACTTTTAAAAATCTTGAGTGGCACCAGTGGACTGAGTAATGCTTAAAGAGGGAACACTAACAGTCTTGAAGCTTAGAAGAGGTTTTTTTGTTGCTGTTGTCGTTTTTTTTTTTTTTAAGAGAAGAAAGTCAGAGAAAGATGCATTGATATAGGAGTGACATACTATTTCCAGTGTCTTAGGTGCCACCCAGTGTCATAATGTCTGTTGCTGTAGCCACAGAAATTTTAGTTGCTCCTTACAATACTCATTTTTGTAGCCCTTCAAACATTTTTATTACTGTTCTCTAGAAGCTTTCCAAAAGGCTTCCTGCATCTCCTTTTTTGTTGCAGATATTAAACTGGTAACAATACTTTCATGAAGGGTTGCCTCACTGCTTTGTATAGGAAGGATTCCCTTGTGCTTTATTAATGCTGTACTCCTGTTTGTATGCTGTATTTGCTCCATTAAAAAAAAGAACTATAGCAGTACACTTCTCTTTCATTTGCTGTACCTTATCATCTATGATGACCACTTACTTTCTGAATTATTATTTGTGCTTTCTTTGCCAGTCAGACCCAGGACACTAATAATTTTTGTCTCAGATCAATTTTGAGAAATAATTATATGCAAAAAGAGGAATTGTTAATAGGTTGAAAAATTAGAATGAACGGAACAGTTTGGCTATTGCAGTGTTAACTGACATTTCTTTTATGTGCTTTATATTTGATATATCTATCTGCAATGTGTTTGAAAATGATTGTATATTTCTGAGATTAATGAAGAAAAGATTTAAAGTTAAATAGTTATTGGGGAAAGTCATGGATTTCGAGGAGAGGATTTGAGACACAGTCATATTTTGCTATTTCTGGCACTTTTCAAATCCTCATCCTGTAAGGAAGTATCAACTGGATGAAACCATGGGAATACTGTTAGTAGTATCCTACAGGTCACAGAAAATCTTAGTTGGGGAAAATTAGACTGAATCAAAAAGATTTTAGATCTTTTCTCCTGCTATACATATATAGCATTAGTGCTTAATGTTACTATGAAAACTCTTAATTCAGGTTACTTGCCTTGTGATCACTATAGATAATTAGTAATGCTTGAGAACTCAGTTTTGGTAAGATTGAAGTTAATTCATTTGTATGTGTTTACTGTTTCTATCCATTGATTCCTCAGTATACTCACTTTTCCCCCTCATACTTAGAATGATACATATCAAGTGCTGCTTTTTAATAATATTATCACTGTTTGTCTGTAGGACCCAGGACCACCCCCACCTTCTCCATTACTAGGTTTGAAGCCACTGCAATTATTAGAAGTGAAAGCAAGGGGAAGATTTGGTTGTGTCTGGAAAGCCCAGTTGCTCAATGAATATGTGGCTGTGAAAATATTTCCAATACAGGTATTTTATTAGTTTTTTAATCTGTAATTAATGGTACAGTAGTCATTATATTTGCTTGGAGTGGTGGAATTACAATAAATGAACATACAGGAGGTCTTTTGCCAATAAAAATTCTAAAGAAATGCAAAGCAAAGATGAGGATTCTAATAAAAAATATAATTAATTGTCTGAGTAGTTAAGTTTTAATACCTTATTACCAGAAAAAAAACAGAAGAGTGATAGAATAGTGTGCTTTGTTTTAGAATTGCCATTTGGAGGTGTATTACCAAACTGATTCATTTTTGTTCTACTTTGAGTGTTTATGTAATCACTTCAGATTTTGTTTGGTGAATTTTCAGAGGCAGTAAAACCAGGACTCTAAATGATAGGTTTACTGTTGATTATTTTATTATTTTTATTATTTTTTTAAGGGAGTTGACCTCATAAAACTCTGGTCTAGTGCACCTCTGAGCTGTCTTATGTTTTGCTTTGTTCCATTGGTGGTATAGATCTGTGATGATTCCTCTTCCTTGTCCCTTGCTTATACACCTCTGTGGCTGATACCATGCATGGTATTGTGATCCTGGCTGGGTTAGGCTCCACTACTGCACCTAGACAGTGGATCTTCCTTATTCCAAAGTTCTTTAATCACTTTCTTTGTCTTAATGTCTTAATATACCTAGATTTTAGCCTTCTTACCACTTCTAGAGCCAATTTCTTAGAATCTGTGAAGAAGTTTATTACTTTTTTTTTTGGTGAAAATGCAGATACTATATAGTTTAGTCCTCAGAGGAAGAGTCTATTCTGCTGTGCCAAGATTCACAAATATTTGGATGATATTGACATAAGTAATAAAATAACAGTAGCTAACATTTTATTGAATGCCTCTATTGTGTTTGGTAGAGGTGGTTTACATATACGAGTACTCACTAATATGTGTCTATATATTATCCATATATATATATACACACACACACACACACACACACATATGATACAGCGATCCTGTGTAGCAGATGCTATTACAAGCCTAAGGTTGCTAATGAAGAAACTGAATGATATGTAATTTGCCAAAGGTTCTTAGATAGTTTGGATTTAGAGGGTTCCTAATCGTTATGCAGTCATGCCTTCCACTTTCATTATCCTTTCATTGTGAAAAGCAACTCGGTCCTTTATAAGTCGATATGTAGTAGGCATGGATCAGTAGCAGGAACAAATGAGTGTATGGTTTTTAAATTATTGCATTGCGTATTTATACTCCATTGCTCTCTGTTGACTTTGCAGGGTATTCTAAACAGTTTATTAAGAGTGTTTGATATAATGTTAGTATTTGAAAAAAAATGTTTTCTAATTAGATGAAGTCATTCTATCTGAATTTCATCTCTTTGGGAGATTATTCTGAACAGTAATACAAGTAACTTCAAACCATGATGAAATTACACTGTAGTACTAACTTGTAAACAGAATGTGTTGCCATTATTAGATACAGATGTGCAGCATTTCTGATAACTCCTGTATTTACAAACTAGAAACTCAGAAGTGTGTTTTGAGGGAACAAGGAAGGGCATTTGGTATGTAACTGTTAACTACTGTCAGATTTTTCTTTTATTAAAAGGTGAAACTAAAGAGTCTTTAGTATTAGCTTTTTCTTCTTTTAGTTTGCCTTAGAACTTATTGAGTAATCACTTAGATAGGGTTTATTGTGTGTATTCTTTGTATTCTTTACTGTTCTTTTTTTTGACTCTAGGACAAACAGTCATGGCAAAATGAATATGAAGTCTACAGTTTGCCTGGAATGAAGCATGAGAACATATTACAGTTCATTGGTGCAGAAAAACGAGGCACCAGTGTTGATGTGGATCTTTGGCTAATCACAGCATTTCATGAAAAGGTAGAACTTCTTTCCATTTTAACTCAGTAAAGTCTGGGTTGGTTTGCCTACCTAATGTTGATTACTAATCCCTCAGACTTAATTTTCTGGGAACAGTATGTTATTGTAGTTGGTTGATATTTATAAATAAAATCTATTTTAAAAAATAATTTAGTCTACAGTCATGCTACCCTGAATGTGCCCGACCTTGTCTGATCTCGGAAGCTAAGCAGGGTTCGCCCTGGTTAGTACTTGGATGGGAGACCACCTAGGAATACCAGGTGCTGTAGGCGTTTAAAAAAAAAAACTAAAAATAAATTTAAAAAAAATAATAATAAAATAATTTATTTTGATAAAAGAGCAAACATGGCAACTTTTTCACCCAGTCCTCTATTTATATAAAACTAGTTTTTAGTCCTGATTTCTTATGCTGCAGTTACCTTTTACAAATAATTATTTTAGTATAACCAATGCTTAGTAATTTTCATTTACCATTTACCATCCATTTGATTACATGAGCCCTTTTTTCAGCTTGAATTTTGTTTGTTAAAACTCAGTAATCAGTGTAGGTTAGTGGTAAAACTAGAGTCAGGAAATTTATCTGATCTTTGATCTGTCACTCATTTGTAGGGTAATTATTACCAGAACACAGTTGCGATTTTCCCTCAATTTTTCTACTTTTAGAATTAGTTTGAGAGTTTACATTAATGAAGTAGGAAATTATGTTCTCCTTGACAGTCAGGTTCATCGTTGTCAGATATAAGTTTCTCTTTTACTTCTCTTTATTCTTGACCAAAATGATGGCAGTAATATCTAGAGGAAGATTCTTTAAGTTGTTATTTCTATGTCTTAATTTTATGTTCTCCTACTCTTATGATATAACATCTCTACAGTCAGTATATTTTAACCTTTTAAATATTTTCTGGAACTTTAGATTTTCAGCTAGTCTTTTTTTTAAATAAACTTTTGCCTTTTAAATAAAGGGAAATTGACCATCTGTGCTTGTAGTAAACCTTTAAAGAATAGTGGTATTCTTTTCTAGTCAAATATTTATTAATATGAAACTTGAACCATTCCAGAAAGATTGCTTTTTGGATATAATTATACACCAAAAGGAAAGATATGTTGCCTTCTATAACCTCTTAAAAGTAAAAAGGAAAGTCTCCATATACATATATGGCTTTTGTCAAGAGCATAAGTTGTTTTTTTTTTCCCCCCTTTCTTTAGGGTTCACTGTCAGACTTTCTTAAAGCTAATGTGGTCTCTTGGAATGAATTGTGTCATATTGCAGAAACCATGGCTAGAGGATTGGCATATTTACATGAGGATATACCTGGCCTAAAAGATGGCCACAAACCCGCCATATCTCACAGGTAGAGCTAAATTTATATTATTTTCCCACATAATTCAATATTTGTTTATTATTTAAACTTTTAATCCCCTGAACAAATTTATTTTTCCCCTAGTTATCTAATCATGCTATAGGAGGTAGAATGATTTTCATTTGTTTTTCAAATTAGTTTTGAGAGATTGGCCAGGAAGTATTTTGTATAATCTGTATATTAACATCATTAGCTTAATTGTTAGTCATCATTAGTTTAATTATTGACTTATGTTTTAATTAGTCTCATTTCTGAAAGCATGGTTAAGAATGAAAGTGTATTTTCTCTAAATTGAAAGAGAAAGAATTTGTTGTACTTCAAAACATGACTTACTTCAAAGATGATTATAAATAGGTATGAGGGAGTGTAATTAAGGAGAGACTTAGAATATCTTTTTTGCTTGTGTTTTGAATGACCACAAGAACATTACCTGAGCTGAGGTGGAAGGAGGCATTATTTGAACAATTGGGTTTATTACTTAATTGCCTTTTTTCAGTGAAGAAATAGTCCTTGGACCTAACAATTGTCATACCCTCAAAAAGGAAAATGTTAGTTCCTTTAACCATGGGATTCATTTTGACACTGCATATTTAACTTCCTTGAACCTGGAACCAGTTTTTCATCTTGTAGTAGTCAATTTAAAGATGGTTGTTTTAAAAGTAGGCTTGAACCGATTCATAACAGATACTTAGTCGAGTGCCCCTAGTGGTGTTTCAGGTTGCTAGGAAGCATTACTTTTATTCCAGCTCTAACATAGATTCTGGTTTTGCAGACCTTTAATGACCTCCACCTCAGAAATAGCTCCTCTTCTCACCTGCTACATACAGTCTAACTGCTTCCTTCTGGACCTTACCCAGTTCTATAGGGAACTAATCCTTTGGAGCCATCAAAGGTTATTAGGAGTAGGGTCCCTAAAAATTTTTTGAGTCTAAAGTTATTGGTTTTGGTAGCATTTGTTAGTGTCTCCTATGCCGCTTCTGTCCCACCCTTTGTCTCTGTTTCTATACTTATAAATTTAACCATTGCTCATGGCACAAATATGTTTAGCTTGGGTATAATGATCTCTAGGATGAACCTGTTGAGGTTAGTGTGTAGAGGAGGCTATGTGAATGCCTTAAAACGGTCACTCTTTCAGGACACCAGAATCTAACTGGAGCAGCGTATGTTTATGGTGAAAGTTTCTGTTACATATTCCTAGAAATGCTTTTTATATACAGACTGATGACTATAAGAACCACTAAAATAAGAGACCATTCTAAAATGTAGACCTGTACCAATAGGCAGAAGGCCTCAATTCGGCAATTCTTTGAAAATTCTAAAATCTTTTTTTTTTTTTTTTTAAGTTCTATTTCAAGGGAGTTTCTAGCTATAAACTCTGTATATTCTTATTATCTTAGAAAACAGTAATTTTATGATTGGTATTTTTGGAATGGCACCTCTTTATAATTCTGATAATACTATGTTATGGAAAGAATGCCTCCTTACTATCCATGTTATGAATTGGAGTTTATCACTGTACTCTTGTGTTTCAAGCTATATGGAGACTTTGCTTAAGCTTTTTCCTCCTCTCCCTTTTTCTGTATTTCATACTTTCCAGTAATTATTATTTTATAGCATACATAGTCTCCCTCTTTCCCACTGTCAGTAAAAAATTTAAAAGATGTAACTTGTTTAAACTTAATTTGAATACTTTGTCTATCTTTCTATTTGCAAGGGACATCAAAAGTAAAAATGTGCTGTTGAAAAACAATCTAACAGCTTGTATTGCTGACTTTGGGTTGGCGTTAAAGTTTGAGGCTGGCAAGTCTGCAGGCGATACCCATGGACAGGTAAGGATGATAACTATAAACTGTAAGAAGAAATAATCTTGTCCTAGGTTTTCTTAGCATGGAATATTTGGATTGAATTGATCTAAAATTAATATGGTTATTAAATTGGCATCTAATATAAAATGACTCTCTTAAGAGTATAATGTTAAATTTGCTGAGGAAGACATTTTCATATGATGGTGAAGGACTTTTAGGACTTCAAGTGGTTTAGATCAAGCAATTCATAAAACAGCCTAGACAACTAGTGGTTACCAGAAGGTAGGGTAGAGGGGGGAGGGTAGATGGGAAAAAATTTAAATAATTTCTTCAATTAAAATAATTAATTAATTGAAAAAAAACAACCTAGACAGCTGTTCTTGGATTCTATTTTTAAAGCTAATTGAAGAAGAATCCACATTTTAACTTGTTACTTCTTTCTTAAGAGGAATGAAAGACTAATCAGTCATTATTCATGTTGTAGCATATTAAGATCTACTGCCCATTTTACCAGGCAGCAATTATAGTTTCTTGCTTCTTGGACTTTATTGCTTCATTAACTCTATAATCAACTTTATAGCTTTTCTCTGAATTCTCTGCAAGGTTCTGAGCACTTGTAAAGCCCTGAGTGAGGAGACTGTAGTCAAAAGACTACACAGAGAGATCTCTGTAATGGGAACCTTTAAGGCCAAAGAAGGGGAAAAAATATCATACATACATTTTATTCTCAGAAACTGTGAGGCTAGAAAAGGTGTTTTCAATCCTACAAGGTCACCTTTTAATCAGAAAGTTTGTCCTGAAAGGTGATGTTTTCTTACAAAGCCAAATGACTTAGGCTGTGGTATGATCATTTCTCCATCTTTCAGATCATGGAAATTATTTGTTCATCTAATTCTCAGCTTTTTTTTTTTTTTCTCCCAGTATATCCTATTGACTTCCAAGAATGCAGTTATCAAATAATCATAGCACAACACATTTTGGCAATATTGACTAATGATTTAAGAATTTAGTTTGGTGCAATGATCAGCAGTCATAGTTCTAGAAAGGTTGACACAAACATATTTGGGAATGCAGGCAGTTTTGTGGAGAATATTACTGAGAGGGAGACTGTTCAAAAAGCCTAGGGACAAACTTGTGAGCTTATTGTATGATTGATTATTATAAGACCAAATTTTGGGAATAGTTTAATCCTTGGATACCTCATAATCCTCCCCGATATTTTTTTAAGAAAAAATTTTAGGACTCATTTATATCTTTTAACACCTTCACAACTGGGTTACATGATGAGGTAAAAATAACTAAGTGCTTGCATCATTGGTTCCTTGACTTTAGATTCATAGACCAGAAAATATAAAAATGAATGTTATCACACATTTTACATATTGCACAATTAAAATAGTTATTTAAAGTAGCAAAAAGAGTAGAGTTACTTGTTTTTTCTTTATTCTCCATATTAAATGAATTAAAACTTCAAGTTTGAGATCTTAGTAGTCTGTAATTTTTTTTTTAAAGCATCTCTGTTATCTGTATATTTGCAGTTAATTGCCCAACTTCTAGTCTAGAGATTACAGGATGGAATTTTTTATAAAAACCAATATCTGGGCCACTCCCTAGATCTATTAATACTCTAGTAGACTGTGATCTACCCAGCTATCTTACAAGTTTTTTAAGCATCCATATATGAATGTCGTCAAGTACCAACCAACCAAGCTGTACTAGCTTAGTAACTATTGTTACTGAAAAATACAAAATTGTTAGGGACATATATAAATAAAGAACTCCAAGACAATGAGTAAACACATAGATTTTGTACAAATAGAATTTTAAAGTTTATCTATCCTTTTTTGGGTAATTCTTTTTACATCTTGTATTGTTTATTAGTTTGTTTGTTTTTTTAATACAGAGAAAGAGAAACACTTAAAGTATTTTTTAAAAAGATACCTCTTGGCTGGGTACCCGAAACTTAATGGATTTCGTTAACCAATGTCACCATTAAAAAAAACCCAAACATTTCAGACAGTATGCAAAGGTACAACTGAAAAGTACATAGCTTTTTTCTCTATTCCATTCTTCTTCCCACAACTCTTGTTCAGTTTCTTGTGATTACTTCTGGAAGGGAGAAATAATTCTAAGCCTATGCCAGCACAATGTTTGTTGATGTATTTAAATGTATGCAGAAAATTATTAGCATATATAATACTTTGTTTCATCCTACAGTATTTTCGGAAATCTTTCTGTATCAGTCCTTATAGATTTACCTCATTTTTTTTTTTTAAGAGCTGTATAATACTCTATTTGTTTAATCGGTCTCTACCGATTGATGCTTCCTCTCTTCCCATTGTCTTGGCTGTTTTATTACTTGAAATGGAATAAAATTTTGCTTGACTCTGTAGTCTAGTAGTCATAATTTAGTCACATTATCTGATAATAGACCACATTTGGTTTTGATTTTTTTTACAAAATCATAAAATGTTAGTTCATAAAGTTAATGTATGAATACTGTTTGCTTTTAATATCTTTTTCAGGTTGGTACCCGGAGGTATATGGCTCCAGAGGTATTAGAGGGTGCTATAAACTTCCAAAGGGATGCATTTTTGAGGATAGATATGTACGCCATGGGATTAGTCCTGTGGGAACTGGCTTCTCGCTGTACTGCCGCAGATGGTAAGGGAAAAAATAGTTTTTAAAAAAGATATATATGCCTACTACACATGTATGAAAAGGGATGATTCTACTCAAAGGTAATATTTTAAAGTACAAATTTTTCTTATTTTTTAAATAGACTCTAAGAGCTTAAAGGGAATTCAAGAGGCAGGGGATAGAGGGCAAGCCAGAGAGGAAAGGTTCCGATATGTATTGACCTTTTACCATTATCAGATGTTTTGCTGGCACTTTACATACCTTTAGCCTATTTTCTAAAACATCTTTGGAGGTAGTAATTTTCTGTTTTATAGATGAGCAATTTGAGGCTCAAATTTTAAGTAGAAATTAAGTAGCTTGCCTATTTTAGCCTCAAGTGGTAAATGGTGAAACCTAGATTTGGAACTCTGATCTAGATGTAGGGAGAGGGCTACTGCTTTGGTTAGGTCATGTGGGTCTTGCCCCCAGGTGGGTGAGAGGAGGTGTGTATAGAGATGGGGGACTTGGCCTCCCAGGACACTCAGCCTGACTCTGTTCAGCACTTCTGTGATGGCAACCAATACCTAACTAACCAGACTGAATTTAACACTCTATCCTCTAACAGACAGACTGAGCACACAATTGGACATGCTACAGGTTAAAGATCCTTAAAGCTTTACAAGTCTGATCTGATGTAGACATTATTGTGAATGTTCACTAGCACAGCACCGTGTTTCTAAAGGATTCCTATTCTTTGTTCTTGTTATCGAAGTCCTTGTTCAAGTCCTCTAAATCAGGGGTCCCCAACCTCCAGGCCGTCGACTGGTACCAGTCCAAGGCCTTTTGGGAACTGGGTTGCACAGCAGGGAAGCAGCGGGCGAGCTAGCGAAGCTTTATCTGTATTTGCAGCTGCTCCCCGGCACTAGCATCACCACCTCAGCTCCACCTCAGATCATCAGGCATTAGATTGTCATAGGAGCACTGGTTTCTTGTGCCAAAAAGGTTGGGAACCGCTGATCTAAATGTTTGCATTGACTGATTGATTGATAAACCTGCATACTGTATTCATGGTGTGACAGAATTATAGTGTTCTAGATACTGTTTTTAGTGCTTTTCCTAAGTCTCCACTCTCTTCAGTTGTGTTACAGCACTTTTTTTGGATGTGAGACTAAGGCAAACTTCCTGACTGTTAAACTCCCCCAAAAATGTATATTAGCTTTATCTGTTTTTTTAAATTTTAATTTATGATTGCCTAAAAACTTTGTGTATTGTGAAAGACCATAGAAGAAATTACGTTGACTATTTAAAAAGGTATAACCAACTTCACCTATAAGAATACTTTCTTTTCTTAGTATTGTAATAGTTTCTTAGTGTAGGACAGACTACCTCTGGTACGAAATTTGATATGGGGTGCTATGCTTTTAAAGGAATTTAGTAGCGTGCACTCAGGAATGGACAACCATTCATTCTTCCAAATCAGGGGTTTGGCATGGGAGTGGATTCAGGACCTAAGAAAGGCTGAAGCAACTTGGATATAATTTAAGCTTAGAAGTCTATAGGAAGAAGAGTAAGCCGTTTAGTATATTTTGGTTCAAAGTGGAAGAGAAAGTACATTTATTATGTAAATTTATAAAAGCAGAAGTAGGTCAGATGGCGGATGTCATAGGAAAATATATTTCATAAGAACTTTATTAACGTGAACTCTAAAGCAAACCATTGAATACAATGTTATGCAGAACACACAAGGCCCTACCCTTGTGTTTCATTAAGTTTCATTAAGGTGATAACATTTTTTCTTGGACTGTTGACTCTAGAGTAAGGTAAGTATGAATTGTCTAGCCCAGTGCTTGGTACATAGGAATTCAGTAAATGTTTTTGGATGGATGTAATACCTGAGAAATGCAAGGGAATGCTATGGGAGTTCAGAAGAGTGAGATATTGCACTATTGATGGGAAGGAGGGGTTTTCAAGGGAGTTTTTATAGAAAAAGAAAAGATGGATGCTGATATTTCTTAAATACCTAGAATGTGCTGTGAAATAATTGTAGACTCAGGCATTTCTGACTCAGGTCAGAAATTGGGGCAGAAAGAAACATTGCTGAAGTGAGTACTTTAGAATTTGTTGATGGCTAATTGTTGATGGTTCAATTCAGTGATTTTCAAACTTTAACGTGCATACCAAACTCCTGGGAATCTTGTTAAAATTCAGATTCTGACTCAGTAGGTCTGGGTTGGGGCCTGATATTTACATTTCTTACAAGCTGCCAATCAGTGCCAGTGCTGCTGACCTGTGGGCCACACACTCAAGTAGCAAAGGTTAAATAGATGCCATAGACTGTCAGCATTCTGTCACTGGAAGTGCTCAGGCAGAGACTATCGAGGCATCAAGGATTCTTCCATTTAGAGCGAGTCGAGTTAGATGGCTTGTATGATTCATCGTTTATAACTTATATTCTTCTATCCAGGAGTATATGGTGCATTTCAAGAGCCTGTACAAGGTTTAGGTCTATATACAAACACATCCGTCACTGAAATTGCTGATTAGTGATAGGTTTCTGTCAAGGAAAGACAGTATAGTAATTGATAGCACAGACTTCTGAGTTATTAAGAGATGGATTCAAATTCCAACTCGACCACTTAACAGTTGTGCAAGTTATGGAAATTTTTTTTTCTTAGATGTAAAATTAGAGGTAATGCCACTTTCAATCTGTGAAGGTAAAATGGAAGTAAATAATATAAAGTTCCTGGTCAGGAGAAATGTTCATCAAATATTAGTTATTAACTCCTATCTGCATTTTCCTGTTTGAGTAGGCCCAAGAAAAAAGGAATCATTTATGTTGTTGAATTTTGCTTGTCTCTGAAGGCACATTCTGACTTCTTGGGAACCCTGTTTAGAGAATGTTTGTGATTAAAAAAAAAAAAAACTAAACTAAATATTTTTGTTAGTCCTGGTGAGGGCAGAAAAGAGGTGTAACTCTGAGGCAAATAATTCCTCATGTGGAGAGTGTTGAGGGTTTGAGTGTTTCCTGGGATAAAGATGGTTATAACAGACTGAACTCAAAGTCTTCAGAGATGGAAGCACCACCGTTTACAGTCTGAATTGCAAGAGTTGAGACCTTAAAGGGACACTATATTTGCAAGTGTTGATGGTTGACCTTGTCCTATATATAAATGGAGATAGCCATTCCTCATACAATAGATAAGAAAGTTCCTTATACAATTCTTAGTAGGGTTACATGCCAAATCACAGACTTTTATTTCCCCTAAATTAGAGTTTGGGTCACAGTGTGGTATAAGTCCATCAGTTATAGCATATAACAATTGGGAAAAGGTGATAGATACACAGAGTGTTTTAGAAAGTTTGTTCCAGTTTGGAAGTCAGAAAGAGTTGAATTAAAATATATGTATATATATTTTTTTACATTTCAGGACCTGTAGATGAGTACATGTTGCCATTTGAAGAGGAAATTGGCCAGCATCCATCTCTTGAAGACATGCAGGAAGTTGTTGTGCATAAAAAAAAGAGGCCTGTTTTAAGAGATTATTGGCAGAAACATGCTGTAAGTTATACAGTTAGCTTTTCACTTAAAATTCCAAGAAAATGCTTTTCAGAGGACTAATTTATCTCTGGGAGGATTTTCTGGGGAGGTGATCCTCATATAGGATATTCTGTACTAGAGTTCTGGAAACAACAGAATTAGGGCTATGTTTTTATGCTCACAAGGGAGATGATGAAGTCATAGTACCTACATGGGGGCTGTCATCTCCATGTTACCTGTATGGATGTCTCCTATTTGGAAGGCTTCCCCAGGAAAAAGAGTGCCTGGCTCTGAGCATGTTATAGTTAGGTAACCTTGCCCATCACCACCCTTCCCATGTGATGCCATTTAAAAAAGCAAAACACCCAGTTTTTCCTCTCCAGAGTTTATTTTAGCCTTTTGATTTGGGGTTGGAAGATTTTCAAGTTCTTAAGGATGCTCTAGAACTAGAGACTAGGTTGGTGAAGAATGCAACAGTACTGTCCTAGTATTTTGGTCTAGGTGTAACTAGAAACATGGATAAAACCATGTAGAGAATCCTCAAGGATAGCTTTCTAACCTTTCTATTTAAATGCAACATAAAAATGCTGATATTAACTAAGAAAAAAATGGGTAGACCGCGTTTAGCATTAGTTTTGAATCCATTTTAGGGTATAGCACTGAGATGACCTGGTTCCTGAACAATGGATAAGGGAATTTTGGAATTAAAAAGATTAATCACATGCTGTAAGTCTTCAGTGCTAAAACAAAACAAAACAAAACAAAAAAAACACAAAACCCTGTATTTCTCTCAGTGCTTTTCTTAATGTTCCTGCATACAACAGTTACCCAGATGTGTACATTGACTAATATCATACTTGGCTAATCTTGAAATACAAGATTCTTTAACCCACAAAAGTTCCAATTTTTATGGACATTTTATTCTATTTCCTAGTAGAAAACAAAAGTCGCTGTGGTGTTTGAATATGTGTTTCCTTTGTAGGGGATGGCAATGCTCTGTGAAACGATAGAAGAATGTTGGGATCACGATGCAGAAGCCAGGTTATCAGCTGGATGTGTAGGTGAAAGAATTACTCAGATGCAAAGACTAACAAATATCATTACCACAGAGGACATTGTAACAGTGGTCACAATGGTGACAAATGTTGACTTTCCTCCCAAAGAATCTAGTCTATGATGGTTGCACCACGTGTACACACTGAGAAACGGGACTCTGAACTGGAGCTGCTAAGCTAATGAAATTGCTTACAGTTTATTTTCTGTGTGAAATGAGTAGGATGTCTCCAGGACATGTCGGAAAGAAGACCCTCGTCTAAAACTGTGGCTCTGGGAGACTTATGGCATTGCCTGTAGCAGAGACGTGAAGGACACGAGACTAAGAGAAACATTGCAAGCTCTGTAAAGGAACTTTTGAAAAAGTATACATGAAGAATGTGGCCCTCTCCAAATCAAGGGTCTTTGGACCTGGCTAATCAAGTGTTTGAAAACTGACTTCAGATTTCTTAATGTCTGTCAGAAGACACTAATTCCTTAAATGAACTACTGCTATTTTTTTTTAAATCAAAATCTTTTCATTTCAGATTTTAAAAAGGGTAACTTGTTTTTATTGCATTTGCTGTTGTGTTTCTATAAATGACTATTGTAATGCCAATATGACACAGCTTGTGAATGTTTAGTGTGCTGCTGTTCTGTGTACATAAAGTCATCAAAGTGGGGTACAGTGAAGAGGCTTCCAAGCATTACTTTAACCTCCCTCAACAAGGTATACCTCAGTTCCACGGTTGCTAAATTATAGAATTGAAAACACTAACAAAATTTGAAAAATAAATCGATCCATGTTTTATAACAAGGTATTACAAATTCACTGTGTTATTTAAGAAAAAAAGGTAAGCTATGCTTAGTGCCAACAGTAAATGGCCATTCGTAAAGCAGTGTTTTAGCTTTTCTTGTGCTAGTTTGTAATTTAAAGGAAAAAAGTGTTGTTCCTTTGAAATGAAAAATGGTGTCATTTTCCCCTTCTTCCCATGTTTCAAAGCTTCATCTTATATCCAGTTCCCAAAATATTGCATACTTACCAGGTATTTTTTTTAAGGTGTGCTGTGTTTGGGGAATATTTGAAAATTTAAAGCATGATTTAAAATTTTTTAAGTGAGCTGTGACACTGGAAAGCTCTTCATTTTTATTCTTTTAAAATAGATTTTTTTTTCCTATTTATATATGTAAAATTGTAGTGTATTTCTTTTCACCAAACAGTGTGTGGGACATTCTTTATCACTGTTTTAAGATCACCTCAGGAAGTGTCATTACCCAGAATTCCTCACTCTGCTTTGAGACTTACAACTTTATCACCATATTTCTGCTTGGTGCCATCTTGTCAGAGTAATATTTGATGTCTGTGGTATGTAAAGATTATCTTAGGATAGAGACTGTAAATTTTAAGCACAGATTTCAGATATTACTGCTTTAAAACAAATCAGGGATAACAAGTTAAACTTATAACTTAAAATATGCAATGACATTTAGAGGTAACCAATGTTGATATAGGTAACAGTCTAGCCTCCTCCCGCAAATTGCTTTAACAACTAACTAACTCTGATATTAATTTAGGATAGCTCATGCCTTATCCTTGATAAGAAAAGGAATTGATGCTAGGTAGGCACCGAAGTGCTTTTCAAAACAAAAGTACATTAGAATATAATTGGATTCTTCCTCAAATTTATACAGGCCAAAGTAAAACATTAATTTCCTGAATTTCTAGATTACTGACCAACAAATAGCCAGTATTACGCTATATACTTTTGTCAGGTCATTTTAAAATCCATACATTAATTTTATAAAATAATTTTTTACATGTCACTATCAGGAGCTTACTGTGAATGTGTTATCTTCAAATGGCTATTTAACCACACAGTACACTACATTTTACATATAATATGCACTTAATCTCTGGGAATACTAAGTTATATTATTTATAAGTAATACATAGGTCATCAGACTC